TCACGCACGCCGAGGGCGAGAAAGCGAAGCAGCCATCGTCCGGGGTCTTTAACCCGGGCGAGAACTCGGCTCAGTTTTCACGCTTTTATCCTCCTGAGGCTCGAGATTTCACGTACTCTCGGCACATTCTTCTCGCCGTGGACGGCACCACTGCGTCCGAAGACGCCGCTCGATGGACATTGAAGAACGTAATCCGCAGTGGAGATTTGCTTCACCTACTACACGTCGCCGTCCCGCAGACGCTCGGGTTGTATCATCTCGGTGCTCCAGGAACGGAGTTCATACCGACGGGAGCTGAGTACTGGGAGACGAAAAATCAGTTCTGGGAAATCAGCATCACGAGAACCGAAAGGATGCTCGAAGCGATGTCAGAGCACATACTTTCGGAGGAAGCGGACGGTGGGGTGAAGATGACGCCGTTCAGACCGCCAATCGAGCTTGATTGCGTCATTGATCAGACGTGGGAACCCGTCGGTCAGGTGCTCGTCGAGAAAGCGCGCGAGTGCAATGCTGAGATGATCGTTTGTGTCAAACATCACAAGAGTTGGTTTGAGAAAGCGCTCACCGGATCGGTGAGCGAATACCTCATTGAGAACTCTGCGAAACCCGTTTTGGTGTACCACGCGCCGATGCCCACAACGACGGATTTGGTGTTGCCGGACGATGAAGACGACGAGGAGATCGAGAAGACGAGATGAACGACGAATGCTAGCGCGCGTCTTCACACAAGCCGATGACGACGATATGAATTTACCATAACAATCGCGAGCGTCTCAGTGCGCGAGAAGTTCGCGGACATACTTGTGCGAGTTACTCCAGACCGCCTTACACAGATCGATGGGCAAGTTTTCTTGTTGATTCTTAATGTTCTTGTCCGCGCCACTTTGCAATAAGAGATTGACGATTTCCACGTGTCCGCGCATCGCCGCCCAGTGCAGCGCCGTGTTATCGCCCAGATCGAGCGCGTCCACGTCCGCGCCTTGCTCGAGTAAGTACTGCACCGTGTGATAGTGTCCATTGTGCGCCGCGCGCTGAAGCGCGCAGTCCTTCATCATCCCGGATTGCTGAATGTCCGCGCCCTCGCTCAGAAGCAGCTCCACCACCTTGGTGTGCCCGTTCCCCGCCGCGAGCACGAGCGGGGGATCGCCGCAGTGATCGCACTCGTTGATCGGCGCCCCCTCGTGAATGTGTTCGCGCACCCAATCGTAGTACCCATCGACGCAATCGCGCCAAATGTTGGACTTCTCCGGGATGAATCTCCCCGTCTGCGCGCGCGGTGACGTGCGTCGAAAATCAATTCAGTCCGAGTGCTCGACGCGTCGCGTCCCGTTCGCGTCGCTCGTTCGCGTCCATCGCGCGTCGTCGCGCACGCACGACGAGATCGAACGGCATCGCGCGCCTCGTTCGCGCGCTCGCTCGAGACGCGCGCGGCGGTGTGCGACGGCGTCGTCTCGCCTACTTTAGACAAAAAAAAACGCTCGTCGTAACGCCTCTCGCCTCGGGGTGCGATGAAAATGCTCGGTGACTCAAACGGGAAACGAATGGACGACTCGGACGCGACGGGTCGATCGTGATGGTTGGTGCGAACACGTGATTGGGTTGCTCGCGCGTGCGATGCGTTGACGAGATGTTTTACCACGGCCACGTTGGTTACAACTTGTGTTTGGACGCGTTCCTCCGTCGCGGCGACGCGCGCGTCGTCGCTCGGGCTTCACCGCGAATCGCTACGACTCGCGCACAACACGAAAAAACGAGAGCTACGTCAACGTACGTTTGCGAGAAAAAAATCACTTGGACACGTTGATGAGCTTTTTGGGCGGTCGGCTCGCCTTTTCATCCACCCCGCTCGTGCCAAAGCGCTTACGGAGGACGCCCAGGACGTCCGTCATGGACACGCCTTGTTTGTTGAGCATCACCATGGAGTGGTACAGGACGTCCGCCATCTCATTCGCGGCCGCTTCCTTACCCTCGTTCTCTTCCCACGTTTGGCACAGCTCCCCGGCCTCCTCGCGAATCTTCTTGCACAGGAGTTCGGGGTCGTCCAAGAGCCTGCGCGTCCACGAGGGCTTGACCCCTTCCTTCTTCGCCTCCACCCGTCTCGCCTCGATCGTCGCCTCGAGCTCGTACAGCGTCGTCAACGCTTCCTCCGCGGCGTGTCTCCCACCCGACGCCTTCGTCGCCGCCCCATCCGGCCCGTCCACGCGCTTATAATAACACGTGTGCGCTCCGGTGTGACACGTCGGTCCCGTCGGGACGCCGAGATAAATCAAACTATCCTTATCGCAGTCCACGTGCACGCTATCGATCGCGATATAATTTCCACTCGTCTCTCCCTTGCACCACAGCTGCGATCGCGAGCGAGACCAAAACGTCGCCTTTCGATGTTTCAGCGTGTACGCCACGGCGTCCCGATTCGCGTACCCCTGCATCAAGATCGCCCCCGTGTCCACGTCCTGCGCGATCGCCGCCACCAATCCACCGTCGTCGTACTTTAGGGTGTTCAAAAACGCCTCCACCGCCGCGTCGGCGTCCGCCCTCGACGCCCGCGCGCGCGTCGCACCGCATCGTCGCATGTTCACACCCTCGGCGGCGCGCGCGTCCACGCCCACGCGTCGCGCGCGCGGCGCCACGGTGCGCGCGCGGGCGACCATCGCCCGGGCGTCCATCGCGCGCGTCGTCCGCGCCGTCCGTCCGGCGACACCGCGTCCACGGCGCGCGCGCGTTCGACGATTGATGCGAAACGCGAATGGGCGATGGACGACACGCCAATGTCGCGCGTCTCCGTCGTTCGCGCCGCGCTCGCGGGCGCCCGGGCGTGGACGCGCGAGCGAGCGCGCGGGCGAGGACCGGGCGCGCGCGGGCGACGGTCGGGGGCGACGACGCGCGCGGTCGAAGGGTCGAGCGATGGGTCGGGGTCGAGCGATGAGTCGAGCGATGGATCGACGGCGTCGACGGCGTCGCTGGACGCGTCGCGCATGCGCCGGGCGCTGGAGATCGCGCGATTCGGTGGCGCGCGAGGTGAGGTCCCGATCGGGGCGGTGATCGTGGAGAACGACACGGGACGGGTGGTGGCGGCGTGCGCGAATGCGTGCGAGCGGGACGGGGACCCGACGGCGCACGCGGAGTTGCGAGCGATACGCATGGGGGCGGAGACGCTCGGAAATTGGCGACATTTGCGAAAGACGACGATGTATGTGACGTTGGAACCGTGCGCGATGTGCGCGGGGGGGATTTTGCAAGCGCGGGTGGGACGGGTGGTGTACGGGGCGAAGAACGCGTTGTTGGGCGCCGACGGGAGTTGGGTGAGCGTGCTCAGGAAATCCGATGCGGTGGACGAGAGCGCGGCGACGACGACGCGTCCGCACGCGTTTTCACCGGATTTAGACGTCACCGGTGGGGTTCTGGCGGAGGAGACGGGGGCGCTGATGAAGGAGTTTTTCCGAGCGAGACGCGAGCGTCCGATGGGCGATGCGGGACGCTTTGAGGAAAAGGGTTGAACAAATTAGAATTAACATGCACCGCTAGCTATTTATCTCGCGCCCGCGTACGGTTCGTCTTCTTCGTCCTCGTCGACGCTCGAGTACTCCGCTTCCTCCTCATCGTCGTCGTGGAACTCGTCCTTGATTTTCACAGAGCCGCCGCGCAAGTCGGACGAGACTTCATCCGTGGGCTCGACGTCTACGTCGCCGTCGTCATCCTCTTCATCCTCGTCTAAATCTTCGTTCTCGAGGCGAAGGAAGTCGTCATCAAACAGCTCGTCGTCGTCATCGTCGTCGAATTCGTCATCGTCGTCTTCACCCGTGCCCTGCCCCGCGAGTCGCGCCTCGAGCTTCTTCGCGTAGGCGCGGCTCGTCTCATCCGCGGCGTCGCCCGTTTCGAGCATCTCCATCTCGTAGACCGAGAGCTTGCGCCTATTGCTCGCCGCGCTCTCTTTGATCATATCATCGACTCTTTTCTTGGCGAGCTTCTTCGATTCATCCGCTTTCTGCGGCGCCAACACCTTGCGCCCGGCGTCCAGGCACGCCTCCTCCCACGACTCGCCCGCGTAAATGTTAATGGGTGAACCGAATGGATGCGGATGTCGACCGATCATGAGTAGCAAGTCTTGTCTCGTCGGCATCACCTCCAAAGGATACCTGAATCTCCACCACTTGTTTCGAAGATCGCTGACCTTGACCTCGAGTTCCATTCCAATGGTGACGTGATCGCGCATGGTCATCCAGTCCGTCTCGTTGATGGGCAAGAGTGCGTCGATTTCCGTGCCACAGTCAATCAAAGCGCCGTGATAGAGATCGATAGCGACCACGGTGCCTTGGAGCACTTGGTCGTGCTTCAAAGTGTGGTGCATCACGCGCTCAGTGTCACCGAAGTGACGCGCCGGGTCGCGATCGATTGTGTCAAGAGGAACCTCTGTCGCGGGTTCGAGATGTCTGGTGTTGATCGCGCGCTCGCGAAGCCACAAGTTCTGCCCGCTCGCGATCTCCTCGTTTTGCACGCCGACGAAGGACAAAGAGCCACCATCGAAGGCGCTCACTGCTTCGTGCTGCGGAAGCGAATCCCACCCACCCTCGACGATCCACTCTCCGTCGTCGTCGTCCGCGCCGCTCTCGCCGCTCGAGATCATTTTCCAATCTCCACCACTCTGCTGCCTCGGACTGATCAAAAACGGGTTCGCCTTGGAGCCATCTTGGAAGATGCGCTCGAGCTGTGACTCGTCCAGTCCGTCCTCCTCATCCTCATCCATCACCTTGCCCGTCTTCTCCAGGTACTCGCGTTCCTCGTCCTCGCGCAAGGCGTCGTCGAGGCGCTCCATCGCGAGCGTCAGCGGCTCCTCGTCCATGTCCGCCTCGTGCATCAAGTCAGCCTCGTCGTAAAAAATGTCTTCCTCGATGAAATGCGTGGACGAGCGCTCGGCGAAGTCCTCCGCGACGAGCTGATCGATCCTATTTTGCCTCCTCGCGCAATCCGCCTCGTATTCGGCGCGTTCGGCGATGGACATGTTTTCGTATCGTTCACACTGATCGTCGTACCACGCCAAGATGTCCTCGTGCGCCACCCCGGTGCGCTCGACGAGCTCGGCGATCTCCTTCTTCGACGGCGGGTACGTCTGCATGTTCTTCACGCGCAACCACCAGTTGAGTTGACACACGTACAGCGCGCGTCCGCGCAAGTTCCCGGCTTCGTCCACAAAGTGTCGCGACTTCTCCACCGGAACGTCCCGCTCGACGTCATCCAACTCTTCTTGACCAGCGATCAGATCGATGTCACCGAACGTCCCTCCGGTCTTATCGTCGTCCGAGTCGTCGTAATCGATCAAGTCGTCCAAGTCGCGCGAACGCGCGTCGTCCTCATCCTCATCCTCGAATCCCGTCCCGAGATCGTCGTACATCGACCGAGCGAACCCACGCTTGAACACATCATCATCGTCCTCGTCTTCGTCTTCATCCGCATCCTCCGCGTCCGCGTCGTCCACGTCATCCGCCTCCGCCTCCGCGTCGTCGTCGTCGAAGAAGAATCCCTCGAACCCATCCTTCCCGCCCACGTCTCCGTCCGCCGACCCATTCGTCCCCGACGCGCGCGCGAGCGTTCGACGCCCGCGGTGGCCCCACCCCGACGCGCGTTCACCATCGCATCGCCCGCGCGCGACGCCCGGGGCGAAGACGTCCAGCGATTCGCGCGCATCCGTCATCCGTCCTCGCCGCACCGCGACGACGCGTCCACGCGCGCGCGCGCGCCCGGGCGCGGCCG